CTTTAAGCCAACTTTTTCACTCTCCTCTTTCACTTTCATNGATGGAATTCCAGTTGAGCTATTTCAAATCCTGAAAGATGATGCTGTGAAAGTGCTGCACTCAATATGCTAGAAAATTTGGAAAACTCAGCAGTGCCCACAGGACTGGAAAAGGTCAGTTTTCATTCCAATCCCAAAAGAAAGGCAATGCCAAACTACCGCACAATTGCACACACCTCGCACGCTAGTAAAGTTATGCTTAAAATTCTCCAAGTTAGGTTGAGTAATAAAGTTACTTTGAACCTCCTCCATAAAAAGTTCTAAAAACTTGAGTTCTGTGGAACTTCTATGAGGAGAAATAACATGAAATCACAAAGAAGCAAATATTTAATTTATAGCTTTAGCACCCCAGAATATAAAAAGACAAAGGAAATTAAGGGGTTATCAGAATGATGATTCATTTTTTTAAAAAATCTGCATATAGGGTAGAAGGTAGGATTCAAAGGAATCTTTTAAAGCACATAATCCGTACATTAAATTTTCTCTTCTTTCACATGAAATCCTGTGAATAACACTGACTTTCTCATATTTAATTTTATATCATATTTTGGGCTAAATGTAATACAATTTAGGGAATAAAAGCTGCTCAGTAATGTCTGTCTTTTTGTGACCTTATGGACTATACAGTCCATGCAATTCTCGAGGCCAGAATACTGGAGTGGGTAGGCTTTCCCTTCTCCAGGGGATCTTCTCAATCTAGGGATTGAACACAGGTCTCCTGCACTGTAGGTGGATTCTTTACCAGCTGAGCCACAAGGGAAGTCCAAGAATACTGGAGTGGGTAGCCTATCCCTTCTCCAGGGCATCTTCCTGACCCAGGAATCAAACTGGGGTCTCCGGCATTGCAGGCGGATTTTTTACCAACTAAGCTATATATTAAACATTCTTCAAGAGATGGATATACCAGACCACCTCATCTGTCTCCTGAGAAACCTGCATGCAGGTCAAGAAGCAACAGTTAGAATCAGACATGGAAAATTAGGAAAGGATTATATCAAGGCTGTATATTGTCACCCTGCTTATTTAACTTTATGAAGACTACATCATGTGAAATACCAGGTTGGATGAATCACAAGCTGGACTCTAGACTGCCAGGAGAAATATCAATAGCCTCACATATGCATATGATACCACTTTAATGGCAGAAAGTGAAGAGTAACTAAAGAGTCTCTTGATGAGGTTGAAAGAAGAGAGTGAAAAAGCTGGCTTAAAACTCATTATTCAAAAAAAGAAGATCACAGCATCTGGACCCATCACTTCATGGCAAACAGATGGGGAAAACAATGGAAATAGTGACAGACTTTATTTTCCTGGGCTCCAAAATTACTGTAGCCAGTGACTGCAGCCATGAAATGAAAAGCTGCTTGCTCCTTGGAAGAAAAGCTCTGACAAACCTAGAGCTAGTGTATTAAAAAAGCAGAGACATCACTTTGCCAATAAGGGTCCATACAGTCAAAGCTATATTTTTTTCAGTAGTCATGTATGGATATGAGAGTTGGACCAAAAAGAAGGCTGAGCACTGAAGAATTGATGCTTTGGAACTATGGTGCTAGAGAAGACTCTTGAGAAGACTCTTGAGAGTCCCTTGGACAGCGAGGAGATCAAACCTGTCAATCCTTAAGGAAATCAACCCGGAACATTCATTGGAAGGACTGATGCTGAAGCTCTAATACTTCGGCGACCTGATACAAAGAACCAACTCAATGGAAAAGACTCTGATGTTGAGAAAGATTGAGGGCAAGAGGAGAAAGGAGAAACAGAGGATGAGATGGTTGGACGGCATGACTGACTCAATGGACATGAGATTGAGCAAATGCCGGGGGACAGTGAAGAACAGGGAAGCCTACCGCACTGCAGTCTATGTAGTTGCAAAAAGTTGGACACTACTTAGTGACTGAACAACAACAGACGGTGGGCTTCTTCAGTTATTTATGACTTTGCAAAATAGTGTTATAATGAGAAGACTATTTTATAGTTCTTATAAATAGGAATACTATTTATTAATAATATTCTATAGTAAATAGTATGTTTTATAGTGCTGATAAAATGTCCTTAAACTAAGTTTCTTCATTAAAACTACTATATACAGTTATGTTTGTCCATAAACTACTTTCTTCAAACCTTGAGGATTTTGTAATTCAATTTATCTTCTGCCTCAATCATATAGGCTCTGTTTTTACCTCCTTTTGTTTGACATCATTGCTGTATTGATATTATTAGTCTTCTTATACGGAAGGCCCTCTTATTCCCTGAAGATCAGAGCTCCCCACATCTGAGCTTCTCCAAACAGAATATCTGTACTAAAACTGTACAGTTGTCCATTCTCTGATAGACCATGGTTTTATAAAAGACAAAAACATTGTATGATCATTACATATAACAAATTCTCAAAGGTGAAAAAGGTATGAGAGATTGCCTTGCCCTAATTTGATAATTCCTTTTATCTATATAGTACAGTTACAATTTAGAATGTACTTTCACATCAGCTCATTTGATCCTTACAACTACATTTATTAGGTTATATAATTATTACCATCTTACAAGTCAGAAACAGAAACAAAAGTAGGTGTTTCTATGACATCCCTGAGGTCATGCATTTAGTTAGATGTGAACCCAGAAACTGATATTCTTTGTCTGTTATACATGGATGAGACACTCTACATTAAAGTACTGACACTTTCTACTTGTCCTAAACTTGGGGGACAACTGTAAAATATTAAAATAAAATAGTATGAAAGTGAAACACTTTCAAACTCATTCTATGAGGCTACCGTCCCCCTGATACCAAAACCAGACAAAGATACCACAAAAAAAGAAAATTACAGGCCAATATCACTGAAGAACATAGATGCAAAAATCCTTAGCAAAATGCCAGCAAACTGACTCCAATAATACATTAAGATCCAAAGCAATCCTGAGAAAGAAAAATGGAACTAGAGAATCAGACTTCCTGAATTTAGCACATACTACAATGCTACAGTAGTAAAACAGTAAGGTACTTGCACAAAAATAGAAATATAGATCAATAAAAGGGGATAGAAAGTCCAGAAATAAATCCATCCACCTATGGCCAGTTAGTCTATAACAATGGGAGCAAGAATATACAATGGAGAAAAGACAGTCTCTTGATTAAGTGGTGCTGGGAAAATTGGATAGCTACATGTAAAAGAATGAAATTAGAACATCCTCTAACATCATATACAAAAATAAACTCAACATGCATTAAAGACCTAAGCATAAGACCAAATACTATAGAAGTCCTAGAGGAAAACATAGGCAGAATACTCTTTGACATAAATCACAGCAGTAGTTTTTTTTTTTTTTTTTTGGGACCTGTTACCTAGAGCAATGGAAATAAAAGCAAAAATTTAAAAATGGGTCTAAGTTAAGCACAAAAGTTTTGCACAGCAAAAAGACCATAAACAAAACAAAAGGCAATCTATAGAATGGGAGAAAATATTTAAAATATTTAAAATATAAAAATGACAAATCTGACAAGGGATTAACTTCCAAAATATACAAACAGCTCAGTATTAGGGGAAAAAACCACAAAATATGCAGAAAAGATCTAAATAGGTATTTCTACACAAAACATAAAGATGGCCAATAGGCACATAAAAAAATGTTCAACATGGTTAATTGCTAGAGAAATGCCAATCAAAACTACAGTGAAGCATCATCTCACATCAAAAAGTCTACAAATAATAAATGCTGGAGAGGGTTCAGAAAAAAAAGGAACCATCCTACAATGTTGTTGGGAATGTAAATTGGTATAGCCACTATACAGAACAATATGGAGGTTCCTTAAAATAGTAAACATAGAGTTACCATATGATCCTGTAATCCCATTCTTGGGCATATATTCAGAGCAAATTCTAATTAAAAAAGATACACACACACACCCCTATGTTCATAGCAGTACTATTTACAATAGCCAAGACATGGAAACAACCTAAATGTTCATTGACAGATTAATGAATAAAGATGTGATGTGTGTAGGCATGTATGTATATTACATGTGCATGCATGTATGTATATTATATGTGCTGTGTGTGTTTGTGTGTGTAATATCACTCAACCATAAAAAAGAATGACATAATGCCATCTGTGGCAACATGGATGGACCTAGAGATTATCATAATAAGTGAAGTAAGCCAAAGACAAATATCATATGTCAAATATATCATATTCCACTTATTTGTGGAATCTCAAAAAAAGTAACAAATGAACTTATTTATAAAACAGAAATAGACCCACATATAGAAACCAAGCTTATAGTTCCCCAAAGGGGAAAGGTGGGGGAAGGGATAAATTAAGAGTTTGGGATTAACATATACACAGGACTACATATAAAATAGATAACCAACAAGGACCTACTGTATAGTACAGGGAACTATATTCAATATCTTATAATAAGCTGTAAGGGAAAAGAATCTGAAAAATGACATATACATACATATATGTGTGTATGTGTGTGTGTATATATTGAATTGCTGTTGCTGTACACCAGAAACTAACATGACATTGTAAATCAGCAATACAAGTAAAAAATAATAAAAATAAAAATGAGATTATAACCTATAAAACAAACTTAGATTATGATGAGTTATTAAAAATGTTTATAAAGAATACTAGTGCGTCTGTTAAATCTGTTATTTTTGAAATGAAGTTCATTATCTACATATTAAATATTATTGATGGCAAGGCAAAGTAAATTTGATCATGAGTTTCTGTGAGATTTTGCTCTTAAGGTATAGTCTCCAAATTTTTCATACATACACCTGTAGCTTTCAGCAAAAAGACACTAGCAAATCCTTGCTGAAAATTGACCAGTGCAGAAATATTTTTCTACTAACATATCTAAGGCAGAAAGAAAATGGCTTTAAAAAACAATGCTAGACTATGTTACCAGACTTTTTCTCTTTCCTTCTCTCTCTCATTTTTTACATTAGTTTCCTTACCTCCAAAAAGGTGGAATGCTTTTCTGCAGTTTGGTAGGGGCCACTTTGCAGAGCTGGATTTCTGAAAGCTTTGTTTTCTTTTCAAATATTCTTTAGTAAAGAATGTTTTTGTGGCATTGTTCAGTTCTAGAGCAAAGCAAACGAAAATATTATTTTTAAACATTAATGTGAGTAAAATGGCAAGAACCCCAAAAATTGTTGCAGTAGTCTGATAATAAATTCAGATTTCTTTGAAGACAGTGAAGATAAAAGTGGAGTCAACTTTGTTTTTAACCCAAGCAAACAAAATTTCTCTGAATTTGATACAACTTTGATATGCCTACACATAGAACATACACCTACTGAGCAGCTCCTATGTCAGATAAAACACCAGAAATGAAAGAAACAGTGATGATTGAGATACAGTCCTTGCCCTAAAGAAGACTGAAGTCTAAAAGATGGTAATAAACAGATACACCATAAAGGGGGGGAAATGTATTATGGGTGCAGCAACAGAATAACTAGAGTGCAATCATGGCTCAGGAGTGATAATGAAAAGGAAAAATCACCAGAAGCTTTTACTCTATAGTCTTATTTCATTTCATATGTGATGGACTGACTGTGTAGAGCCTAACACTGCTGATATGAAGAAGTCAAAAAAATGTAGAAATAAATTCTCAACCCTTCAGAAACTTGTTCATGAGTTAAAGAGAAAAGGAAAATATTCATTTGAAGTAAACAAATACCAATCAAGAAACAAATATGAAGATAGTTTAAAAAAGAGTCTCTAGAACATGAGCCAAGGAAAGCAAGGCATAATCTGAATTGAACTATTTGATGGAGAAGTTCTTCCCAGGGAGGCCAGTGTAGAGCTAGTTACTAGCTGAGAAGTAAACAAGTCTTTCCATCAATGGTGCCCTCTTACTTTCATCCCACAATTATTCCTGTACTATCTTCTCAGCTTCCATCCTTTCAAAGGCTTTGAGCTTCTTCTCTAACCAGTTACATCAAATTTTCTCTATTTTTCCTAACTACTCTCTTGGATTTATTCTTATCTAAGCAATTGACAGGGAAAACATTCTGGAAGTTTACATTTAACAACAAAAGAAACAATGTAAAAAACAGGCCAATTCAAATAAAGAAGGGTCCCTATAGTCAAGGCTATGGTTTTTCCAGTGGTCATATATGGATGTGAGAGTTGGACTGTGAAGAAAGCTGAGTGCCGAAGAATTGATGCTTTTGAACTGTGGTGTTGGAGAAGACTCTTGAGAGTCCCTTGGACTGCAAGGAAATTCAAGCAGTCAATCCTAAAGGAGATCAGTCCTGGGTGTTCATTGGAAGGATTGATGCTGAAGCTGAAACTCCAATATTTTGGCCACCTCATGTGAAGGGCTGACTCATTGGAAAAGACCCTGATGCTGGGAGGGATTGGGGGCAGGAGGAGAAGGGGACGACAGAGGATGAGATGGTTGGATGGCATCACTGACTCGATGGACATGAGTTTGAGTAAACTCCGGGAGTTGGTGATGGACAGGGAGGCCTTGCGTGCTGCAATTCATGGGGTCACAAAGAGTCGGACATGACTGAGCAACTGAACTGAACTGAATAAACCTGCAACTCTCTTTAACTCCCTTCCCCAGTCTACACCCAAGGGCCAGTAATTCAAGCATACAAGATAGAGAACAAGTATTTTCATAGTCTATGTACTCATTGTGTATGTTGGAGGTTGTTATAGCCAGTGAATGTTTTAACTTTCACGTGTATAATAGTTAAGTCATTTCAGATCGGATATTCTCAGTGTTTTCTGCAGCAGTGCACGCTTGTTTTATCAAAGTCCACTTTGCCCACTGCCTGTGAACAGCCCCTTGGTAAAAGGTGGTCATGGCATTACTACTTGGTTAAAATGACTCATCAGTGTCATTCATAGTGATGAAGAGAATGGAAGAAGTTATCCAATGACTTATAACACATTCACTTACATAACAATTGTCTTCTTGTAGGGCTTATCCTTAAGCAGTGATAACTATAAATCAAGGTATTTTCTGAGAAATTAAAAATCCTATGAAATAAGCAGGACTGTGTTAACAACTAACTGTTGGACTCACAACTTCCTAAATGCCTTTAAAAGTAAGACCAGGGTGGTGGGTAAATTATTTCTTGTGGGAGATAATATAAACCAAGGAGAAGAGTTTGCAACCCCTAAATTCTTATTCCCCTCCTTTCTTTTCCTCCTCTCCCTCCACCTTTCTTTTCCTCCTCTCCCTCCCTCTCCTCCCTGGAGAGCTTGTACCCTTGCTCTAAAATGCTGATGCAATAACCAGAGGATGTCACTGCACTGGCCTCTCTTAAAATGAAAACTTACTTGGAAGTGTAATTGCATTCAGTAAACCAGGTCAAAGAGACATTCTTGTAAGAGTCATCCAGAAGTGCAGTTTTGAGAGCTGGTCACATATCAGACTTGTCTTAGAGCATAGATGAGAAAGATAAAAGTAATAATGGTAACTGATTTTTTTTTTTATTTTCTAGCTTCAAGAACTTATTACATGATACACTTCTAACCTATATAACAAACCCAAATGGAAACCAAAGAAGGAAAGGTTTCAAAAATTATTTATAATACCTAAGAAAATTATGATCAGAGGAATTACTTTATTAAATGTACAAAATGAGATGGGAGATGTACCTACAATGTTCTGTTGAACATAAATACATGTGTCCATAACATAGTCTTATGAAATGTTGGAAGATTCTATTTATTACACTTGATCTGAAAGACCTTTGGAGAAGAGTAGATCCAAAAGCCCTTGTCCCTCCATGTGCTGGGCCAAATAAGAACTGGGTTCTAATGCTTCCTAACTGTGGCACCTTTCATAAGCACCTTTCAAAGAACTTCTCTTTGTACTGCTTTCTGCCCCATCTCTGGCAAACACTTATTCTGCAATAGCTATGTGCCTGGCACTTTGCTGGTCTAGCTAGAAATACAGAAATTAATTAAATCTAATTCCTGTCTGTTGGGCACTGTACTAGATCAGTGATTCCAAAATACCCATCTGGAGCCTGGCTATGCATCAGAGTTGCTGAGGGGATTTGTTAAAAAGACAATTTCTAGGACCTTGCCCCAGATATTACTGAAGCAGAATTGCTGTGGATGTGACCTAGCAGTCTGTACTTTCTATAGGCTCCTTGGATAATTTTAATGCACAGTCAACCACTAGATGAAATGACCTTAAATCCTTTTCTATTCTGAAAGTACCTGAATTTATTTAAATAAGTTAAACCTTATCTCTTATAGTTTATCTGCTATAAACTGTACAAACCTTACCCAAGGATGTTGTTCTTTCTACAGAACTACATTGCTTCATTATAGTGGTATTTGAACTTGGAACTGCAGGATTTTGCAACAGATAACTATTCAATACTAACTTTCTCAGAATTATTTAGAAGAAGCACTAAGAAAAATCTGAAGGCAGACCAAGATGAAGGGCTCAGAGTAAAAGGTGGCAAAAACTACCTTTCTCTCCTCCTTTGTAAACTGTACCTATTAGGGAGTAGAGGCTTCTTACTACAATATATTATAATGCATTATATTACATTATATTACAATATATTATAATGAATCAATATTTCATATCATTCAATATGATGGAAAAGGACAAAACCCTGAATATCCTAGAAAGATTCTAAAGTCAATTCAAATGGTACATTTAAATGTGGTGGCAGTACCAGTGGAAAACAGCAGCATTTTTGAGTGACGCTACCATTGAAATAGTAAGTAAGTGTTAAAAGTTCTAGTCTTCTTGGCTTGACTGAGTGCAAGAGTCAATTACCAAATACATAAAAACATAATCCACTTTATTACAGGGTGTATTACCATGAGTTTCACTGTATTGTACCATAAATAATAAAATAAGGACAACCACAAACAAAGCACAATTTTGAACTACAAGCAGTACCAACAGGGTGGTATAACTTTGATGTCTGCTTTATGCTTAAATTGGAGAAGGAAATGGCAACCCACTCCAGTATTCTTGCCTGGAGAATTCTATGGACAGAGGAACCTGGTGGGCTACAGTCAATGGGGTCACAAAAAGTTGGATACAACGGAACAACTTTCACTTCACTTATGCTTAAATATGGGCAATTTTATATTTAAAAGCTAGTTATAATTAAGTTATATTGTAATTTATAATTATTAAGGAAATATTCATTAGTAATAGTTTTAAGCATTCTTTTAAGAGTCAAAACTGTGAAACATTCTTTTCTGCTCTACAAAAGACACTGTCAAGTGAATGAATAGTTGATTCACAGGCTGGGAGAAAACATTTGCAGAAGGCATATCTGATAAAGGACTGTTATCCAAAAATACCCAAAAAAGTCTTAAAACTAAATAGTAAGAAAACAAAAAACTCAATTTAAAAAAATGGGTCAAAGACCTTAACAGTCATCTCACCAAAGAAGATATGCAGACAGCAGATAAGCATATGAAAATATGCTACACATCATATGTCATGAGGGAAATGCAAATTAAAATATTAGTGAGACGCCACTACACACCTATTAGAATGGCCAAAGCCCAGAGCACAGATGACACAGTTGCTGGCAAGGATGTGGGCAGCAGGCACTCTAGTCACTGCTGGCAGCTGTGCAAAACAGTACAGCCACTCTGGAAGATGGTTTGGTGGCCTCTCAAAAACTAAAAATGCTCTTGCTACATAAAATTTAGCAGTCATGCTCCTTGGTATTTAGCCAAAGAAGCTGAAAACTTAGGTCCACATAAAGACCTGCAAATACATGTTTTTAGCAGCTTTATTCAGAATTTCCAAGTTGGAAGCAACAATCACGTCCTTCAGTAGGTGAGTAGATAAATGGGTACCATTAGACAATGGAATATTATTGAGTCCTAAAGTGGTCCATGGGCTATAGCCCACCAGACTCCTCTGTCTGTGGAATTTTCTAGGTAACAATACTGGAGTTGGTAGCCGTTCCCTTCTACAGGAGATCTTCCCAACCCAGGGAACAAACCTGGGTCTCTTGCATTGTAGGCAGGTTCTTTACCATCTGAGCTGCCAGGGAAGCCCCCCAAAAGAAATAAGCTATCAAGCCACAAGAGGACATGGGAGCATATTAAATGTATATTAGTAAGTTAA